GGATTATTCCGTCCAGGCTCTTAACACCGAGCTGATATAGCTCCTCAAAGTGTGAGTGTGAATATAACACCTTTGTTCTTGTGGAATTATATCGTTCATACATACTGTACCATTATTTGTATTTTTGTTTCTCTCTTTTTTTTAAGTTACTCTGCTGGCCAGTATTTCTACAAAACGTATGTACATTTTCTGATTTTTAGCGCTGTTCACCTTTCTATTTTAACAGATCAATGGGACAATCATAAGATCTGTGTGGAGGAAGAGCATTAGGCTGGCTTTTACTAAATGCCTAACTAACCTCCCAATACTGTATGGGAATTTCGGGAGTCGGAGAAAACGTAGTAGCGGGTAACGCAACGATGCCCACTTTTTTAGAAATGGGTAACATGCAGCTTTCCTGACAGTCTCTACCCTTTATTGTTCAAGTTAGATTTTCGTTTTTCTTTTTCTTGTTTTATATTGCTCCACATGCTCACTGGAAACTAGTTTCACTTTTGCTTACAGAGATCTAGAGCATATGTCTGAAATAACTTACATATCTGTTGAAAATTCTTCTAACCGTATCCTGATCTCCCATATTTTCTTTCATTCCTACTTATAAAGACAATAAATACATCATGTCTTCAATGGGCTAAAATCTCATAAATAGGTGAGAATATACAATGAGGTATCCCAGACATTTTGCCTCTACTGTTTTTTATTATAAAACACAGTACAGAATTCTGGGTCTATCAAACAGGTTATATCAGTGGTTTGTATTTGAGCAAATATTAAATATTAATCATACATTTGAATTTGCTTTCTTTACTCAGTAAAATTTGTATTTTATAATAATGATAATTGAAACAAAATAGCAGCTTCACAAATAATTATGGTGGTTTACTCAGATGTATTTGTTAACTTCAAATAAACTTACCTTTTTGAATTTATTGTTTACTTCTTCAAGATCTCATGCTGCTTCACATGAGCAAATTACCACTTTTATCATTTAATGTTGCGTCCTAGCTTTCATTTATCTGTCTTGCTAGGATTATGGGAAATGTTATTGTTTTAGCAATAATTATGATAAAGCTTCTCCTCCTCTGAGAATTTAAATAGCATTAAATATAACCTCAACCATTAGCGCTGTCCTAAAGTATTACTCTACGAAACATGCAATATGTGTATTTCCATTTCTTAAAGCAAAGGCAATGCTAAATTGAAATATCATGCATGATGTTAATACTGGGCTACCCCATCAGTGTTTTCTGATATTAAAATGTCTAATTCACTATAGCTTATGAAATACAGCTCTATTTTCATCTGCTCTAGCTTTCACATTACAGTAGAGCAGCAAAGCTACACTGAGTGGAAGGAAATTCACCACTGTTATACACAAACATCCATTCATTTGAACCTGAGCATTTTGAATACTATTCATCATCCACTGTTTGCAAACAAATTGTATCCATGTACAAAGTAATTAAGTCTGCAGTTTTAGGTGTATATTGTACAAAATACAGGTTAAGGAACAGCACACACACACACAATGCAGCTTTACATTTGACAAGGCTATTTAAAATCATCTATCAAAGCAAACAAATATGGGGATTCAGTTCCACATATGGCCATATTGTGTTATGCCCACCACTATGCCACGTATCCTGCAACTTAAGCCCAATTTTGGTGAGTCCTACACTAATATTAACATGGGAGACAAATTAAATAGTGCTTGTGCTAAATAAATTAAAATCTATTAAACTAATCAGTTGTAAGAGCATTGTGAATATATATAATGCAAAATTAATGATTTAATTTTTTTTTTTTAAAAAGCAGTGTCAATACTAAACAATTAAAGTGATAGTGTTCTGATGTATATACTCATAATACATATTATATACCTGTTCTATATCAAATCAAAATGATAATTAAAGGGACATTGCTATCCAATACATTCTCAAATTTATTCTTTCCTGTGGTTACCTCCAAAGGAGCATCTGAAGCTGGGGGAAGGGTGCGGGGGGGTTGGGGGGGCAGGGTACTCAAGCCAAAAAGGATATATGGTCTGGACACAAAGCATCCATAGAAAAAAGAGAAGTTAGCCACACCCAGAACAGGAGAGTTTCAGCACTGGTGCTGCCATAGAGACCAAAATTTAGACAAAATACAGATTAAGATTTGAGGTGTTTTATATATCAATACCATTTTAATAATATTTTTTTATTTAATATAGGTGGTTGAGCAAGGGTATAACCTGTATCAAACTGGTATTATCATCTTTCAAACTTCTGTCATGTTTATAAATGGAGGGAGCACTTTTCCCTGAGCACTCTGCTCAGCTCCCTCGCTCGCCGCCCGCAGAGTGATGCCGGAAGCCGGAATATGATATCATAGTCCGGCTCCCGGTATCACTCTGCAGTGCGCGAGGGAACTGAGCAGAACGCTCAAGGGAAAGTGCCCCCTCTCCAGCGCCGCCTACCCGACCAGAAGCCCAGCAGCCCCACTAGACCCCAGAGAGAGGGAGAAACCCCCTCCAGCATTTCCAAAGGTAAGGAGGCTGGGGGGGGTTAAATTAAAAAAAAAAGAAAAGAAAAAGGGAGTGTGTTAATGTGAGTAAGTGTGTGTGTGTCTGTTAGTGTTAGTGACTGTGTGTGTCTGTTAGTGACTGTGTGTTTGTCTGTTAGTGAGTGAGTGTGTGTCTGTTAGTGAGTGAGTGTGTGTCTGTTAGTGAGTGTTTGTTTCTGTTAGCTAGTGTATGCGTATATGTCAGTGAATGTGTGTGTGTATTTAGAAGGCGGGGCAGGGGGAAGGGTTGGGTGGGGTGACACGGGGGGGCGCCTGAGTTTTGTCCTGCCTAGGGCAGCACAAAAACCAGGATACACCACTGGTGGTGCAATGTGTGAATGTGTATGGTGTGTGTATGGGGGGACAGTGTATGTGTGTGTGTGGGGGCAGTGTGTGTATGGGGGACTGTGTGTGTGTGTGTGTGTGTGGGGCAGTGTGTGTGTGTGTGGGCAGTGTATATGTGTGTGGGGCAGTGTGTTTGTATGTGTGGGGGCAGTATGTGTATGGGACAGTGTATGTGTGTATGGGGACAGTGTATGTGTGTGTGGGGGCAGTGTATGTGTGTGTGGTGCAGTGTATGTGTGTATGGGGTGGGCAGTGTGTTTGTATGTGTGGGGGCAGTGTGTGTGTGGGGGGAAGTGTATGTGTGTGTGTGGGGGCAGTGTGTGTATAGGGGGCAATGTGTGAATGTGTGGTGAGGAGGGCTTTTTGATAAAAAATTAATAAAGAATTTATAAAATTAAATACATTTATTTCCCACCTCCCTTCTTACCTTTACTGGGAGGAGGGGGGTCATTTATGGATTCCTGGTGGTCCGGTGGGTAATCTCTGGTGGTCCCAGTGGTTAGAGTGAACTCTAGCCTGTAGCTCCAGGGCTAGAGTTCACTCTCGCAAGATTTGGAACGTTGCTGTGGTAACCGCGGTAACGCTCCGTGCTCGCGAGAGTAGGTCCCGCAGGAGCTGCAGGCTGAGCTCCCGGGTCCTCTCTCCTTCTCCCTCCCCTGTCAGCTGCCAGCATAGTGCCTGCAGACTGGGAGAGAGATCTCTGATCTCCCTCCCCGGTCCGCAGGCACATTGCAGGGCTGACACTTGGACAATGCCAGCCAGTGCATTGAGTGTGAAGCTCTGTTTTCACTTGCTCCTGCCTCGAAAGTTAGCAATAAGGTGAAAATGACTGTCAATCCTCCTGCAATGCTCACTTTTAGTTTTATGGAGATGTGATCTCCTTCACTACCACCACCATACCCAGGCATTATATGTCACAAACGCACCCTACCCCAAGTGAACATGACTTTGTTCTGGTGGTGAAAGGGTTAAAATTCACTATTTGTCTGCACTAGACCAGAAATAATGATAAAAATCTCCCTTAACACCAATCACACTTAATTATAATAACATGAATATTACTATTTTAGAAAACTGCTGCTGCCACTACCAAGGTAATTTATAAAAAGCGGTGTCTTAATCACCCAAGCAAATTAAACTAAAACCCATGAAATATGATTTAACAGTATATATATACATGTGATATGAAATTACCAATAAATTGGTCTAACTAGGCGAAGTGAAATTCTAAAAGTAGTCTCATGCCCGGGAGGGGAGGCTCCGGCAAGGAAATATGACGATTTATACAAAATTAGATATTGGCCCCTAGTAAGCACATTGGATATTTGCTCATCATTAGATTTATACCTCCTGTATTCATCTCAGACGTCCAAGCCAGCCTAGAAGTGGTATAGGTGGAGTAAGGTCCTATAGAATAAAGTGACCTCCCCCTTGTGTTTCATACTGTCAGCCCAAATAGAAACTTTTTATTTCATTTCCTCTTTTGTGCTTGCCACAGAATAATTTATTGCAACTTTTCAATTCCATACATATATCATCCTTATTATTTCATAATCCTAAACAGCTCACACTGTGCTAGTCATATTTATACTCTTTTTGTAGGTTGTGCTTAAAGGAGCACGAAATCAGCATGCTTATTCATCTGTGGGTTATTATCAATGTTTCTTTTGGATATGACAGTGGAAAATAGTTCTCCTGCATGCTAATGATCTTTAGCATATCAAAAGAACCCATTATTTAAGAGGGGATAAAGGCCTATTGTAGATGGGCCACTTAGTTTACATTGAAGCAAGAGTTAGAGACATTTAACACATTGCAGCGGGGTTCTGGAGTCACAGAATTCATGTCGTAAACCTTCTAACAGCTATCACATACTTATACAACTAAATGTAACCTCTTCTTTTGCTGAAATTGACAATTCTACCTGTACCTGGTAGCCAAGTAATGTATGCACTACACAAATCACATTAAGTACCAATATTACAAATTGCAGCAATGAATCATGCACCCTTGACGTGACACTATGGACTGCCACCAGTGTGCCATCAAAGAAAGAAAGGCATGTTGGCCAGTAGGAGCACTCCATAAATCTAGGGAATCAGGTGGGTGAATTTTTTAAAATACTGTTTTATCATGGCCCATGAAAGCCAACAAATTTTTCCAGAGTGGGTTGCTGTCCCTGTACACATTGCCTCTGTTGACTGTTGACACTATAATCAATATCCCACTTACTCTGCCTGGTGGTGGTAGTGGGAGAGATAATGCTACTGTTGTTTATCTACCTTTTTTTTGCATTGTTTGCTATTATACTGGTTTCACTCTATTTTGTGTTTGTGTTGAAAAATGGGTTACTGCTTTGTGTAGTTATTACTTCTACTACTGTAACATTGTTGTGCTTGAATACACTACACACAGCACACAATGCATTTCAGTGCAAGCAGTGGCAGAACTAGTGTTGAGATGGCCCTGGTGCAATATTTGTTTGTGTATTTATATGGAGTATGTGTGTGTGTTTGAATATAGGTGTGTGTGTGTGTGTGTGTGTTGCATGCATTTGTGAGTAGTGTTGGTTTTTGAAAGCAGGGATGTGTTTACATATAATGTTGGTGTTTTCTTACAAAGGTGTGATTATATGTAGTGTTGAGATTTGAATGCATGTTTGAATGCAATGATGTGTTTGTGTGTTGGTGTTTGAATGATGTGATATATGCACATATACAATTACACTGCCAAACACACATAATTATGCACATACACACATATAAACACACTGTTATGTATGAAGATATACTGACACACACTGACACATACAGAAACATGCACTGATACACATACAGATACACACACACACACACACACACAGATAGATACAGAGACACTGACACACATACAGGCACACATATACACACAGTGACATACATACACATACGCTGACACACATACAGATGCACAGACACACACATGCACACACTGACACATACATACAATCAGAAATACACACTGAGAAACATAAAGATATGCAGACACACACTGACATGCATATAGATATACACTAAAACACACATGCAAACACACACTGACACACATGCAAATACACAGACACACAGATGCATACACTGGCACACATTCAGATACACACACTGACACACATGCAAATACACAGACACACAGATGCATACACTGGCACACATTCAGATACACACACTGACACACATATATGCACACAGAAACATACACTGGCATGCATACAGATGCACAGGCACACAGATACACACACTGATATACATGCTGATAAACAGATACACACAGTGATACACATATGCATACACAGATTGACACACATATGTATACACACTGAAAAACCTGCAGATAAACAGGAACATATTTGATACATACACTGACACACATGCAGATACACAGCTACCAACACTGACACACATACAGATACAACATACACCCATTTACACACATGCAAATACACAGACACACACTGACATACATACAGATACAGATCCACACAGACACACAGAAACAAACATTGACACAAGTAAAAATACACAGACATACACTGACAAACATACAGCTACACAGATACATACATTGACACAAATACAGATTCATAAACAAACAGAAACACAGTGACAGACATTCAGGTACACAGACAAAAATATACACACTGGTGTACATACACAGCCACATACACTGACGCACATGCAGATACACTTACACACATGCAAATACACAGACACATAGGTACAAGCACTGACACACACAGATACACAAATACACACACCGACATACATGTAGATATACAGATACACATGCCGACATAAATGGATATATACAGACACACACACACTTACACATTGATGCACACACTGACATGTGCAGATACACAGACACAGGCAGATACAGAGACACACACTGACACACATACAGACACACAGATACACACATAGATGCACAGACACACAAATACATGGACACACATGTAGATACACAGACACATAGGCACACACACTGAGACACATACATAGACACACACAGAAACACAGGCACAAAGATACACACACTAACACACATGCAGATACAGAGATACAAACATTGACACACATGCAGATACAGAGGCACACAGGAACAGACACTGACAGACATAGAGACACACTCTGAAATACATACATATACACAGATACACACACGAAAACACATGCAGATACCCAGACACATATGCAGATACAGTCACACAGATATATACACTGACACATATGCAGATACACAAATATATAGCTACCAACACTGACACACATACAGATAGATATAAACAAACACTGACACATGCAGGTACAGAGACACACAGAAACAAACACTAACTCACATAAGGATACACACACTGACATATATACAGATATACAGATACAAACGCTGACAAATGCAGATAGAGAGATAGAAACACATATGCACACACTGACACACTGACACATACAAATACAGAGACACACATATACAATCTGACACAAATGCAGATATGCAGCTACACAGATACACACACTGACACACATATAGACACATATGCTTGTCAAAATGTACCCTTTTTTAGCCACCCTACTGTTTTGGGTGTAGGAAAATGGCTTCAGTTGGATCTGCTGGCAGTTTGGAAGTTGAGTCTCATTATGCTCTACCCTCTCCTCTCAGGCTCTTCCTCCTTCCACATGAACGGTATGAGATAAATCTGGTTGCGCTGTTAAAGGGCTACAGTGCGCGACCTGGCCCCTGATGACATATGCCCATCGAGTTGCCTTAAGTACATAAGCCACTCTAAGGGCACCCTCAGTATGTGGGTCCTGTTGTACTGGAGATAGTTCCGTGTTCAATGCACAGTGCTTTGACACTTGGACAGTACACATTTAAATCAAAAAAGTATTTGCAAACTGATTCTTCATATTCAATGGTGCTGCACCCTGCCTACAACACTACTACTGCCATACTCAATGCCGGAAGGGTTCAATAATTCAGTAAACTGCAGCCACAGAAACCGAAAGAAAAATGAGTGATTGATCAGTGTGAAACAGCATCTGTGGAGATAGGGCAAAACCGATACAATGAAAGACATTTGGAACATTATAACAAAAATTGTGAAAATTAGATATTTGAAACCTGTAATTTTACTCTATAAATTGAACATGATCTTGCAATGGTCTACTTGGAGGTATCACTGTACTCAGGGCAGAATACAAATCTAAAAATAATTTTTACAGTAGTATAACACATGGCGTGTAAAATTCAATGTGAAAATTACAAAAGATATATATTTTTTTTTTTGCATTTTTCACACATAAATGGCACTTACACGGACTATATAATTGTTGTGATACGTTTTGAAACACTAGTATACGTGTTCAGCGAAGTCTCCTGAGTATAACAGTACCCCTCATGCACAGCTTTTATGGTGTTTTCAAAAGTTACAGAGTCAAATATAAGGCTCGCGTTTCATTTTTTTCACATTGAAATTCGCCAGGTTAGTTATGTTGCCTTTGAGACCGTACGGTAGCCCAGGAAGGAAAATTACCCCCATGATGGCATACCATTTGCAATAGTAGACAACCCAATGTATTGCAAATGGGGTATGTTCAGTCTTTTTTAGTAGCCACTTAGTCACAAACACTGGCCAAAATTGGCGTTCAAATTAGTTTTTTGCATTTTTCACACACAAACAAATATTAACACTAAATTTGGCCAGTGTTTGTGACTAAGTGGCTACTAACAAAGACTGGACATACCCCATTCACTATACCTTGGGTTGTCTCCTTTTGCAAATGGTATGCCATCATGATGGTAATTCATATTCCTGGGCTACCATACGGTCTCAAAGGCAACATAACCAATCTGGCGAATTTCAATGTGAAAAAAATGAAAAATGTAACATGCTATATTTGACCCTGTTACTTCCCAAAACACCATAAACCCTGTACATAGGGGGTACTGTTTTACATGTGAGACATCGCTCAAAACAAATGTGTATTTTTTTGCCGTAAAAGCAAACCGTATATCATGACATTCACAGCTAGAATGTCACTTGGAACTAAAGATTTTTAAAAAAATCTTATTTTCTCCCATTTTTTATATTTTATTCATATTAAATTATGTTTCATATCTAAATATTTGATGTTAAATGAAAGTCCTGTTTCCCCTGAATAAAATGATATATCATAAGTGTTGGTGCACATAATATGAAAGAGGTGAATTACGCATGAACAGACACATAGCGCAAATTCAAGTTTTTGTTTACGTTCTGTTTTGATCACAACGTGTACATTTGGCTCAGTCCTTAAGGTGTTAACTGGAATAAAGCAGGCATATGTTTCAATTAAGATTTTATGATGGATATTTGCATTAAATCTTTTGATCAAATTTGTAATGCTAAACTGTTGTTTAACGCATACTTTATATATATATATATATATATATATATATATATATATATATATATATATATATATATATATATATATATATATATATATATATATATATATTTGTGTTCGGGGCAAATAGCCGTATATGGAGTAAGGTTCCAGCATAAGCTAGGATAGTATAAAGGGAGCAAGTCGGTTGTGGTGTGCCGATACGGTAGGCCTGTAAATAAAGAGGGCCCACCAAGGAGTAAGTAAGTAAAGTAAATGGAAAGAAAAGAGAAAGTGTTGAAATGAGGAGTGGGTGGGAGGGTCATTCTGATGCTGACCTCAAGCGATATGAGTCAGGTAAGGGGTGTCCCTTATATAGGGAAGTGAATTAATTTAAGCCCCTCCCACAAATACAGGCCAAATGGCCTTAAAACTTGTGTTCGGGGCAAATAGCCGTATATGGAGTAAGGTTCCAGCATAAGCGTAGGATAGTATAAAGGGAGCAAGTCGGTTGTGGTGTGCCGAGACCGACGATACGGTAGGCCTGTAAATAAAGAGGGCAAAAAGAATAATCAAAGATTTAATACAGTCAACAATATATACAAATTAACCAGACATTTCCTTAAATGCATTACGGTATTTAATTCCTTGAAGGATTTTGAAGGTAGGAATCTAGGACCGCAACTGGACACCATTTGTTGTGGGTAGGATAGTATGTTATCTCTACTGTTGGTGCGTGTTGACTCGTTTCGGAATGTGGTAGAGCCAATAGGTAATGATATATGTGTTTACATACGTGGGATCGTTGAAGACAATGATCTGTCTGAGTGGTGGTTATGGTAGTGGATTCTCTGGCCTGAGAAAGGCATAAAAGGCAGTGTGCATGGCTGGTAATGGCCAACTTGGTAGTATAATTGAAAGGTTGTAGCTCTAATAGGTCCGATAAGGATGGAAAAGTTGGATGGCTATTGGTAATATCTGAGGAACGTGGGGGGATGGATTCCTGAAAACCTCTGAGTATATTCTTGTCTGGTATGATAGCATGAAGTTATGGTAGTTTTGGCCATAGGTTATCCTGTGTTGTTGAATGCCTGTAAAATATATAATTAATGGTGTGTGAGATGGTTTTAGTTTAAGGTGGCAAAAAATGAAGCAAAACCTAGGAGAAATGTTATGACACAGGTTGAGCTATGTCGTGTTCCAATGAGATTCTTTAAAGCCAGGTGAATAGGTGCGTTCTACAAGTATGGGATGAAAGTGCTAGGTGGGATAGTGCATGCTATGCTGCATGAGTATGTCTAATCCATGATTTTGTCTCTGGAACGAAAGAGTGGCCGTGACTGTATATAAGGCTGTAGGAAGCGTATGATGAACGTGCCTGGAATATAAATGAGACAATTGTCGGCTAGGATGTATACCACCGCCTGGTACATGAAAGTAAAAGAAATGTGGTAAGTGGCCAACCAAGTGAGTTCCCCAGCAATACCATGATCTTTTGGTGATGAGTGGCATTTGTTGATGATATGACATGTGCTTAGTTGTCTGAGTAACAACGGATTGATGACCCTGACCATGATTTACCCCATGCCACAGCAGCTGCTTTTAGAGGGGAAAGGATTGCCCATTTTATGCCATGTAAGTGCCAGTTTGTAGGGTAGATGGTAGCCGTTTACTGTGTTGATGATATTGGTCTTACTTAACGAAGCTTCAACCCATGCTTGAGTGATAGCTGTAAAGGTAGATCAATGGTGTGTACAGTAAGGAAACTCCTCGGAGGGTATGAGGGAGTTGAGACTTGGGGTAGCGAAGGTGTGTGGTGCCAATAAGTCTATGGTTAGTCTTTGTTTAAGGGAAGATTCCCTTGTGACAATACCAATGCGTTTGTGTTTGGTGCCATGCTGTAAATGGTGGAGATTGGAAAACCCAAGTAAAAACCCCTCTGCAAATCTTGGCTATGAGTGTGTTTACAGCCGACGGTTCTGTTGTGCTGACTGTAAGTGAGGGCATGCTATATTCCTTGAGAGTTTATTTATGATACCTGTATGGGAGCCCTTTGAAGCTCCAGAGCCTTAGTAACTCTACTACAAGTCTGGAAGGGTGATGAGTCAGTAGTGTTGAAAATGCATTGGTGTGTACAGATGGTGAGTACGTTATTTGTAAGTTGTATTGGGACACATGGTTTGTCATGTGCCCTGAATGATTTGAACATATATGCAACAGTCTATATGCAATGCAACTACTAATACCAATTGTCTATTGTAGTTCAGAGGTGCTGGTACCTGGAGCCTGAGAGTGCTCACCCGTTTGTTTGGGAGAAAATCCCTTCTGTATGGGTACCTGCACAAATAAGCATCTCTACATATTCCAAATGCCAACACAACCAAGGGATGGTCAGTTCCCGATTTACCTAGAATCCCTGGGTCTGACCATCATAGATACATCATCATACATATATATGCCTTGTTTCCCCAATGTGCCGGGATCATATGTGCAGGGTTAACGTCTTGTACCAAGTAACCGAGTTTCGGTTGGTGCTGGTTGTACAGTAGCGTGAGGCCCAGCCTTGTGAGGGCTGTGACTAACTCGAAATTGCCAGTCTGTCGTAAATTTTTTGTCTCATGAGTTTATGAGTGAGGCTAGCATGGCCTCGGTGTCACCTGAGTTGGTGTTGCTGGGCCTTCCCCTGCCTCCGTGTTGTCCGTTGATGTATGGAGGAGTTTGAATAACTCTGCTTTCCTTGCTGTGGCAGGGTAGGGGATTTGTCGCCTCCTTAGGTCGGAGCCACATCTCCTCTGCTTGAAGGTGTATCACTTCTAGCCGGGGTGCCAGGAAGAGGTGATTCTTCACCATCTTTTTGAGAAATACTTAAATAACAATAAAGATTGCAATTATTATTTGTACCCAGGGGTCTTGTACTGGCTTGCTAGCTAAGCCGTAAGGCGAAACGATTAGGCTTGGTGTTTTTTGGTGACTGGTGAGGCCCTTCTAGTTGCCAAGTGGCTTGAGAGGCTCTATCTATGCTTGGCGCGAGGGGATTTTTTTTTTTTTGTGGCCACCGAACGTTGTGGCAGGATGTTGGCCTCTCGGTGACAGTAACCAGAAAATAGGAAGGGGAGTGACAGGTGAGGCCCTCTCTATGATACAATGCGAGGCGGCTAGCTCACGAGTGGCCCGAGGGGTGTATGCCTCCGAGTGTGAGGCGGGGTGTTGGCCTCGCGGGACCACTAACCAAAGCGTAAAGCAGAGAAACAGGGGGTAATACCTATTGGGCCATAGAACCCTAATTGCCAGTACATTACTACTATTCCAGGGAAGGTAAGAGATGAAGGTGTATCACTTCTAGCCATGGTGCTAGGAAGAGGTGATTCTTTACCATCTTTTTGAGAAATACTTAAATAACAATAAAGATTGCAATTATATATTTGTACCCAGGGGTCTTGTACCGGCTTGCTAGCTAAGCCGTAAGGCGAAACGATTAGGCTTGGTGTTTTTTTTTTGGTGACTGGTGAGGCCCTGCTAGTTGCCAAGTGGCTTGAGAGGCTCTATCTATGCTTGGCGCGAGGGGATTTTGTGTGGCCACCGAACGTTGTGGCAGGATGTTGGCCTCTCGGTGACAGTAACCAGAAAAATAGGAAGGGGAGTGACAGGTGAGGCCCTCTCTATGATACAATGCGAGGCGGCTAGCTCACGAGTGGCCCGAGGGGTGTATGCCTCCGAGTGTGAGGCGGGGTGTTGGCCTCGCGGGACCACTAACTGAAGCATAATGCAGAGAAAAAAGGGGGTAATACCTATTGGGCCCTAGAACCCTAATTGCCGGTACACTATTACTATTCCAGGGAAGGTAAGAGATGGATAACTACGTGAGCAGGTGTACGTACCTGGTAGTATGGTATTGAACCTGACAATCCTTATAGGTTTTTTAGTAGTAACTGTAACCTGTTTGTCTGTTGACCTACAGGGGTCAGTGTTTTGGTGTTTGTAAAACCCCATGAAAATTGTCAATGTACTTGACAGACCTGTATGTGGCAGTGTTGATAGAACCACTGTTAGTCTTAATGTAAAATGTAAATTATTGTGAATTAAACCTGAAGTTGAGCCCGTGTTGGAGTTTAATTCATGGTTTATGGTTATGTTTAAAACAATCTTATGTGTAATTTATATTGGCTGGTAATTGTATATGACATGTGAAGACAGTTTTGCTGTTGACCAGTAGGGGTCAGAAATGCTGATTGTATGGTAAAATACCCTTTAACCCCTGAAGGATACATGACATGTGTGACATATCATTTATTCCAGAGTTTGGTCCTTAAGGGGTTAATCCAAATGCAAGGTTAACGTGAGATTTTGAGAGTGACCTGTAGGGGTCAGTGTGGTTTATGTGAAACATTGTTCGTGAGCTATTCCCCAGCATTATAGTTGTGAAACAAACAGTGCCCATTTGACAATATACAATAAGTGAACATAATAGCTTAATAACAGTCATTGTAACAAACCAAAGTTCTGTTCATGGGTTGTAAACACACGAAACGTGTGTGTAATACAATAGTAAATGCATGAACTAGTACCCATTTGGTAGAAAATTGCACGAACCGTGAGCCTGGTATGTCAGGGAAACAAAACAAAACGAGCAGTGAGATTCAAATTCATGCACAGAATTGCCTAGTATGTTTAGGCAATTGAAACAGAATGTGTTCCCGTTTGGGAGTATGCTAATGCTCGAAATGAGCCAGTGACAGATATAAACAAGTGAATTTAAACGAATGATATGCGTGAACATGCAATGGTTTTAGGACAGATTTAGACCAAATGCAGCCGTAAAGTGAGGACCTGACCCGTGCATGGTGCCGTGGGACTGATGCCTGGCGTAACGGGTAGGTCGACTTACGGTTTGTGAGTCACTTGGACACCATCCACAGCGATAGATTGAAGAAAGAAGGTGGTAGGCCGGAAAAGCCTGTGGATGGATTCCTGACACAGCTCAGCTTAGAAAACCTCATGGAGTAATCAGGTAAAATGGCGTCTGGATGACCCGGAAGTGGAAATCATTCTGATGCTGACCTCAAGCGATATGAGTCAGGTAAGGGGTGTCCCTTATATAGAGGAGTGAATTAATTTAAGCCCCTCCCACAAATACAGGCCAAATGGCCTTAAAACATATCAATAATGTATTTTTTGTATAGGTATTGCTTTAATGTAATAACAATAACATAATATGAGGCAGATTAATTATGGGCACTGATATTAAAACATTATTAACAAAAATGTGCCACACTTCTAAAAGATGTAGTCTCTAATTCAATTTTTTCAGATATTAAAAAATGTGAATTAGACTTAAACAGGCAAATTCTGACCAAGTAATGGAGATATTCCTGGATGTTGACCTGTAAAGTGTAAAATGTTTAAATTTATTGGAACTCCAGTTTAAGAGTCTTAATAGACTCTGTCTTGTTCCTAGTTTATTGGGAATGAAGAAGCACAGTCTTCCAGATATTTGTTGGTGGTGTGATTTAAAAAGAGGGCTTTTGTTTTTTTACATATTTGGTGGCTTTGTGATTCAATCCATACTTTCTGGTAAAACTTTTGTCAGTAAATTGAGACCATATCATGTACACTTCTGTTGTTTTCTCCCAAAATAATTATCTTACATTTTAACCTAACAAGATATAACAGTAATATAAATAATTTTTTTATTCACACATTAGTTGCGTATAAAATATTGATAGCTATATAGTTTTAAATGGATATCGTGCATGATTGGAATTTTATAAAATCAAAATAATTTTTTCAGATGAAAATGGAGATAGTTCTTAAACTGACTATAAGTAAAAACAGTTTTGACATTGAAGGTTGGATTAAGAAATTGTTCTCAATATTAGTGCATTTCTTTAAGTACATTGATAATACACCATGTTGCCAGCATGTAATGTTCACTGTTTTCTCTGACTATTTGGAGAGACTCATTGCTTTTATTTCCTTGAATATTTATTGTGTAATTGTTTTGTCTGCTTTGTATGTCACTGTATTACTGAGAGTAATCATAATAGAGATGTGGAACTGCACTCAATCCCAAGCAATGTGAGTGGCCGTGGGTTCAATAAATTTGCCGTTTTGTATCCTGCAGCGCCTGGACCTTTTTTCTATTTTTCTTTATCATGTATTACTGAGAGTATCCTGCCTCTGTTTTATATGGCAAGTCCTTACACATAAAAGTCCATACACATAAACATATACTTTAAAATAATGCTTTAAAATGGCACTTAAACTAATATAGCCATGCTCACAGATTGCAAGCTTGTTAGAGCAGGGCCTTCTTCACCCTGAAGCTAGCTCTCAGGAATGGGATAGAGTGTAATGAGAGTACAGAGAGTACAGACAGCCACAGCACAGGACGCACAGTGCTGCCTTGTGCTTACATATCATGTGAAATTGACAATCTTACTATACAGGGTTAGATTGGAGCCACAAGAGTGTATTAGCTTTTTCTTTGTATGACCCTTGGTGGCCTTCAGTGCCTTAGGATGACAGTCACTTACCCCATGCCCCCACATACAAAGTGTGAGCCTTGAGCCACTTGTATTGTTCCTCCCTCTTCCAGGTCTAGTGACATATTAGGGGTTATATAAAAGTTCTGAAAGTGGTGAATTTGGATCCATTGGTTTTTATAGTGAATGCTCCACCTCTAGAATTTTAACATAGAGTTTATACATAACACATAATATCATATATGTTATACTGTATTTTTTGGAATAAACAAGAATATTGGGCTTGGCCCTCTTCCCCTATGTCATGTGTGTTTTGTTAGAATTATATGTTTGTCTTGTATACCTATTGTAAAACATTGCAGAATATGCTGGCACTATTAAGATAATTGCAATATAATAATATCCATATATTTTAACTAGAAATTTTGAAGAAAAAAACTAAAACAACCAATACCATAAATAGCGTAAATTTCTGTTTATGTGTACAGAGGATATATTGTGTGTATGTTTAGGGATGTAGTGAGTGTGTGTGCATATGGGAAATGGTGTGTACAATTAGAGAAAAAGTGTGTGTATGTAGAAGATGTAGCATGTGTCTATAGGGAATCCAGTGTGTGTAGGGGATGTAGTTTGTGCATTTGCGTGTGTGGGGGGAAATGTGGTAAAAAAAAAAAACTATATTCTGAAAAATATGGTATGTCGAATTGTTCAACATTATTTCTATCTATCTCTAATGAAATAATATATAAATAACTATGTATTTAGAACAATTTAACATACCATATTTTTCTGAATATAGGACACAGTTTTTATAGACACACACACATATTTTTTATATACAATTAAACTATATGCATTTTTAGACATAGAGGTTCCCTTTAATATTTTTCAAATTGCATAAATGAAATCAGATCACCTGTGAAGTTTAAAACTGATCTCACAAACTAATCTGTAGAATCGTCATGATTGCATATAACTGCCACAATTCAACTAGTTGGTATGTGCATTAAATTAGCTTTCCCTGATTTACCATTGCAATTAATATTGTTACTGGACACCAGGGATTATCATTGAACATTGACATGAATTATGTAAAGAAGACTGAATTCATAAAAACAGAAAGTATTTTTGAAATGTGTTTTGTTATCTTGTCTCACTGTTTATGCTCAACAAAATAGATCAATGCATTAGTAAAGTAAAAAAAAAGTATACACTGCTCCTCTTACTGGACTTTAACAGTTAAACCATTCAGTGACCATTGTCCACTTCATCCTATTTAGATTATCCTTCTGTGCCCTAGCCATTGTCTTCTCTATTGTTTTATGTTGTTTTAATTGTTTTATGATTACTTTATTGTCACCCTTTCCATTATCAGGCCAAAATACTGCTATGTGCACTTGTGACAAATTGCATCCAATGAGAAAGGTAAAAACTGTTTTATTATGTGCACTTGTGACAAATTGCATCCAATGAGAAAGGTAAAAACTGTTTTATAAGTGCAATAAAGCACTCTACCTACTGGAAAAGTTCAGTGCGCTTAAATTCATCATGCACTCTTTGTGATTTTACACAGATTTTACACTGCTGATAAGCTCATAAGTGAGGTTAATTAGATCCATTTAGTGGCAGAGTTACAGAAGCAATTTTCAACCACTATACACAGGATTCAAAATGATAGGCATAACCAACCAGTGAAGCATTTTAATACATATATTGTATTTACAGTCTGAATTTGGTTAAAAAAAAAATAAAAATAAAAAAATCTATTCATTTTATCTAACTGATAATGCTGTAGAATAAGATACGGCTTAATAATATTAATATTTAATGTATTTATTCTTGCTTATAGTTTCCTTAAATTGCACTAAAAAATCCTAAAGGACTATTAGGTCTAATAACCACTTAACAACCAAATGAAAGTCTATGCCAATATGCAGTGTATGGCTTTAATCCTAAGAGACAGCATAGACCGTCATACAGTAAAGGTACCAGTAGGACTTCAATCCTTGCTGGTGCCAACGACTCCCAGATATCTCTCCACACCTGGGGATTCCCTCTATCAGCAGGGGCTACAGTTAGTGGCCCCAGATTAGCAGATGAGCTATGAGCATTGCTCAAAGTGAGCACTGTTCATACCTTTTTATTTTCCACAGTAGAACGATACTGCTCAGCTGTGGTATTTTTTTCACTGCCCTCATCCTCCAATGAGCAGCATTAGAGTGAGCTTTCCTTCTCATGTTACAATCACATTGCACAGAGGTCTTACAGAGCCCTCTGCACTGTGTAAACGAGGAAATCCCTCAGCAGATGTCATTACTGACATCAGCATAGGGAATACCTTAAAAAGTTTGAATGGGGGTGGAATTTAGACTGGGATTATAGGTATTATTATGGGTTATGGGGGTTGGAGTAACATTGAATTTTAGGTAGGATTGAGGTCAGATTATGGAAAGGATTAGAGGTTGGATTATAGGTTAGATTAGGGTATGGATTTAAGGTTGCATTAAGGGTTCGATTATGATTAGATCAAAAAGTATACATGTGGGATCTCATTCTACTCAAGAACAGTAGCAAAATACAAATATGTGGTGTTTTCAGTAGTGGGACACGTGGGGTCTGTGAATTTCCCCAAAATAAAACATGTAAAAAAAAAAAAAAAATTAACTAATTTGACCTAGGTTTGTGATAAAATGATTACATTAAAAGTGTCAAAATGCTCTTACCGTGTTTCTCCGAAAATAAGACCGGGTCTTATATTAATTTTAGTCCCAAAAAACACACTAGGGCTTATTTTCAGGGTAGGGCTTATTTATTTATGGTACCGGTATGTACATTGAACCCCCCCCCTTTAATTAATCCACCCCCCTTTAATAAATCCACCCCCTCTAATTAATCCACCCCTCTAATTAATCCACCCCCCTTTAATTAATCCACCCTCCTTTAATTAATCCACCCTCCCCAATAAATCCACCCCCCAATAAATCCAGCCCCTCTAATTAATCCACCCCTCCTTTAATTAATCCACCCCTCCTCTAATTAATCCACCCCTCCTAATTAATCCACCCCCCTCTAATTAATCCACCCCCCCTCTAATTAATCCACCCCTCTCTCCTTTAATTAATCCACCCCAATAAATCCACCCCCAATAAATCCAGCCCCTCTAATTAATCCACCCCTCCTTTAATTAATCCACCCCCCTCTAATTAATCCACCCCCCCTCTAATTAATCCACCCCCCCTCTAATTAATCAATTAATCCACCCCCTTTAATTAATCCCCTCCTTTAATTAATCCACCCCTCCTTTAATAAATCCACCCCCCTTTAATTAATCCACCCCCCCTTTAATAAATCCACCCCCCTCTAATTAATCCAGCCCCCCCTTTAATTAATTCACCGCCTCGCCCCCTTTAATTAATTCAGTCCCAGACATAAAATATCTACTCACATTTCAAAGATGCCTTCCTTGCCCGCCGAGTCCGACCACTGGGTGCCTCACCGCCCGGAAATGGATCCTTCCGCTGAAGATCCGTGAAGGCAGACTGACGACGCTGCGCACGTCGTCATCACGTTGCGCGATGCCGCGGCCTGCAACGCTCCTCCTCCTCCTCATAGAAGAAGGAAGTCCCGCCGGGCCGAAAGGTACAATGCCTAGGTCTTATTTTCGGGGTAGGGCTTATATTGCAGCCCACCCCGAAAATTCAGCTAGGGCTTATTTTCGGGGTAGGGTGTATTTTCGGGGAAACACGGTAGTTACAGAGCCTGCGGGATGTATTTTCTTAAAATGTATACTTTTTTGTAGCGGTTTTGGATTCTGTAACAACTATTAAAGTTGCAATCCAAGCATGCCAAATTTTGCTAAATTTTAGCTTTAAAACTGTAATCCACTCCTTGAAGTATTTGTTTGATAACTAAAAACTAATTCAAATCCTAGAGATATTGTTTTAACAATCAAAACTAATTAGTGTGTAATTTACTTACACTTGGTGTGCTTAAATTATTGCATGTAAATATATATAAAACACACATATACACATGTAATCACATATACTGCAGTAAAATATATGACACATTTATTAGTCCATAATATTGTGCCATTTAATAAAAATTATTTTCTATCACTTTTAACCACAATCTAAATTCAAATGAGTTGAGCTACACTGATTCCATTGAGAATATTTGTAATCATTTTGACCTTAAAGGGTAAAATATTAGGAACACAGTGAAGATAATGCCTTCAAGCAGAAATTGCCCTTTTCAAGTCACCAAATCAATTTATTCTGATGGCCTTTACTTTGCTCAATCAAAGGAATGTTACAATATTATTTTCATGATGCTAAACAACGAACACCATCATAGAAAATGCTTCACAGTTTAGTCATTAAGTACCAAAGTAACATTATTTTACAATGTAGCTCTTTTTGGTAGGTATTTAAAATGTAATAAATAAAAAAAAATGTAGAGATGAACATATATTTAGCAGGTGCTGATTTTTCATTTTTCATTTTAGTTTTGCTGACTGCAATACTTTCCATAGTCATATTTGGATCAAATACAGTTAATTTAATAAGCAAAAATAAAGTGAATATAATAAGCAGAAAAGGATCAGACTTCAGATTTAGCAGAACTAGCACGTGCACTCGGTAAAGATTGCTGTATGTGCATTGTAAGTGGTACTTGGAAAAATACTATGGTTTTTGTTGTATGATATAAAAAGTTAATAAGAAAAAAGGCATACCATATAATTCAATAACAATATTTTAATGTAGCCATTGTGCAATAAATACAAAAATAAATTGCATTTCATCAAATTAATGTCTATCAAATAGTTCTACCAATTAGAGTTTGTTTAGTGAAATGCTTTTTTTTTTTTAATACATTTACTTTTCATAAAGAGATACAGATGTTCCTCTGGTAGATAAAGATGAAGAGGAGCAGAAGGAAACAATCCCCTCACAGACCTAGATTCCATTCCACTGTAAAAACTAATGATATCAGACAGGCTGGATATCATTGCATGGGTGATGACAACTGGAGCAATCTACTTCAAGGTCATATTATATAATATTCAGCAACCAAGAATGATATCCACAGCCTTCACTGTTGGGTAGAAAAATCTACCCACAGGTATGGAGAAGATACACATTATGAAGGGGGTAGCACAGTATTTATATATATTTTTTTTCCATATCAGAAACTTTATGCATGTATGACATGCCTACAAATTACAATAAAATGAAAGATTATTTTAATGTCAATTTATTATTTCAAAAAATATTATTTTTTTAATGCTTGCTTATTCAGGTGCAATCACTAAGCTATTATTTTCTTCTAAAACCTCTTACAGTGATATAAGCTCTAGGAAGTTCTGAAGTCATGGCTAAAAAGTGGGTGGCTTTCCTGTAACGTTCACTAGGGAACCCTAACACGCAGATAGGACAGAATAGAGAGAATTGCAATACCGATCCTAAGAAACAGGGCACTGAGCAAGGGAGAGGTTAGCTTATATACACACAGGGTTTGTCTGATTGGCTAACCTCCAATTTGTGTTAACCACAACACGTGGGAGCAGTTTTTTCCCTCCCTTGTGGTCTCTGAGGTCATCACTGTGTGCCAGGTCACATGAATAAATATAAATAGTTACTTTATTTGATTGTCATGCTTTTAGGGACCAGGAACCAGACAGAGACAGAACGTAGATGCAAAACACCTTTATTATAAATAGCAAATAAAGAAATAACCAAAAGCAAATGTAATGGCCACCCTGAGTATCAAAGGGGTGTATGCCACTAGAGACGTCCTTTTCCCTTGAAAAGAGCGGTGCTGCAGTATTCTCCGGATGTCATCTCAGCCGAACAGGAAGTCGAAGGTGTAGTAGAGCTCTTTCAAGAGTTAGTGATTAGCTGTGAAGCAGGTTCCTTACAAGCACAAGACAAGGCTACGTGTTGAGGGTTAAGCAGAACTGATCTTTAGTGTGCCACGCTGGCCTTTTATGCTACTTTTCCCAACAAGGGTAACACCCAGGTGGACCTTGTTGGGCACAGGGACATACAGTGAACATCCAACAAACACAGAGCCAGACAATGAGACCCTCCCATACATTATACACAATCCCTCCCCTCTGCCTGGGAGATAATTGAGTTAATTACTGTATCAACTCAATAATCTCCAAACAAAAAAATGAAAATTTTTGTACATTTTTAGAAATACCCTAAGATTATATCTGTACCCCATAAAACATACATTTTCTGATAACCCTGACCTAGGGAAACAATATATTTAAAAATAATCCAAATTGGTTCAGGGGTTCGAAAGTTAGATGGAAGTCCCATTTCGGGACTGCCCAGAATAGTTCCATGACTTCAGCTGGTGCGGCTGGTCTCTTTTGTGCAGAGTAAAATGTCGAGCAATAGTTCACATATTCGTTTGTGTGTGTAATGGTTGTATGCCACTTCATTCGTATGTTGTTTCTACTAAATGCCACCTCCTTCGGATGAATTAACAAAAATCTAAGTGGTCCTGGAAGTGTCAGCGGTGTTCGGGCCATTGAGTGTCCGAAAATAGTTCCAGACACTCTACGACAAAACCCCACTGGACACATTCGACAAAACAAGATACATACGGGATGGGCTGCAGCATATCTACTTTTTGTATCACACAGTTTTGTTACACTGGTGCAGCCCATCCCATGTGTTCCCTATTAAGGGTTAATAAGTATATAGGGGTGTATATAAAAAATAACCCTGTCTGTCCCATTAGAGATATCTTTGCCAGAAGCTCAAGGAAGCAAGGTGAAAGGTCAGTGTAGGACCCGCCTAAGGGGGTCTGCCTTGACGTTGGCAGACGGGCATTTCCTCCAATGGCCATTGGAGTAACTAAATGACCTCCATTTGTTTAAATATACAGGTAGAGAGAGGAGAGAGTGCAGGTAACTTTTTCTTTGGTTTTTACTATATGTATTGAGGCTGATGTGTACTGTGGTCGTTGCTGCCACCCAGGAGTGATGGGAGTGATCGCAGGACTTATCTTTTTGTATTTGTATACACTGATAATACTTCTAAGTTTTACAAAAGATAGTCCTTGTTGAGTCACAAAAGATAGTCCTTGTTGAATGGTAGAGAGTTGAACAAGGGGCCGTCTGTTGGCTCGAATGTATTTGCTTAAAGTGATATAGTCTCTGTTGCAGGATATTTCGAGTAGGATCACACAGGATCTTTATAAGGACATAGGTACATCTTTCTATTGCTTGTATCATTTTTTTTTTAATATATTACACCAGAAGCTGTGTTGCTTCCCTTGTCTCCCTACCCCTCCTCTTTTCTATACATATGAGGATCAACTGACTAAGAAAAGATTTGTTGGTACCGTGTCACCATAGTACACGCATACTCTAGCGATTTAAGCCTGTACTAAGGGGCTCCGGACCATGTGAGTGAGATCGTTAAGACTATCTATTTCCCAAGATTGTCCCACTACGATATTGCACTACTTTTAGTTTTATTCTTACAGATATATATATATATATATATATATATATATATATATATATATATATATATATATATATATATATATATATATATATATACTGTGGTATTTTTCCTGCACATTGAATTGTGTTAACCCATAGGGGTAAGCCTATGTATATTTAAGCGCTACACATACAACACTAGTGGTGGATTGTATTATATATTTCCCTATAGACTTTGTGTACAACCCATTCTCTATATTTTTTTTATAGGGGAAGAGAGTCCCTATATTCATGTGGTAGCTGCTATTTACTTATTCCATTCAAAATATTTAAAGCGCCCAATTTGCACACATCTTCTCTGTTTTCTAGTATACCACTGATTTTATTCGCAAACTGGAAGTGGCTGGGAATGTCTCTAGTGGTACGTTGTTGTGCACGATGGACATCAACGCTCTGTATACGTCCATACCCCATGAGGATGGTATTGCGGCTTGATATAAGTGAAGCATAACAAAGTTTTCTGGTTGATCTGTTATCAATGGTTTTATATAATAATTATTTTGCCTTTGAGGATAAATATTATCTACAGGTCAAGGGAAGTCCAATGGGGTCCAATGTGGCCCCCACATATGCCAACCTATTCATGGCAGATTTTGAGGAAGCGTTTGTATATCTTGACAGAGCATTTTTACAACAAATCAGTATTTGGTTATGATCTATAGATGTTATCTTTTTCTTTTTGACAAGGAGTGTTGACGAGCTGTTGCTATTTAAAGAGAGGTTGGAATTGTGTTACCATCTCCGTTACAGTTGAATTTGATCCCTATAGATGCACTTTTTGGATGTTCAGATTGAGGTGAGGAACATCTTTTGTTTGATTTGTACCAAAAACCCACTGACCATGCCAGCTCCTTTCATCCATCGCATTTCATTAGGCACTTACAATATGGACAATTTGTCAGGGCATGACGGATAGTATCTAATATACTATCCGTATATTTTTGCTCTTGGCGCAAGAGCAAACAAGTTGATGCAGGTTTTTCCCTCTAGAGGATATGAGACCGAGACATTGGCAGAATGAAAGAGCAGAGCCAAGTCATTGTCTAGAGAACAACTATTACAGAAAAAAACAAGGAATACAATATTGGTATTCCATGTGCAACTACATACTGGACACACTCGCATGAAATTAAGCATATTGTAAGTAGACATTGGAAAGTCTTACAATCAGACCTTAGACAACGTGTGTGTTTTAACGAAAAACCTTTAGTTTCGTTTAAGTGCCATGAGAATTTTCATTTACATTTAATTCAAAATGTGGACGTAGTGGAACGAGAGGAATGAAACGTGGTTTATGGCACCAGCTGGTATGTATCAGTGTGGACATTGCATCAATTGCAATGGGATAATTACTGGTAATCATTTTGTACATCCTAGGACGGGTAGGAAATATGCGATCCGTGAATTCTGGAATTGTCAAACTGATTTTGTGGTGTATATGCTTAAGTGCCCTTGTGGCCTGGCGTATGTTGGTGAGACTACAAGGAAATATACTACCCGTAATCAGAGAGCACAAGAGTAGAATTAGGACTAACAAAATCCAATACCCAGTGGCGTGACACTTTTTAGAAGAAATGCACACTGTTTCTCAATTACGATATTTGGTTCTGCAATCAGAGGTGGGTCGAGGGAAGTTAAGTTGAAACAACGCGAATTACACTGCATATACTGTATGAGTAACAGACAGTTTATTCAAAAGGCCTTAATAAAGAGGCCATTTTGGTGATTATTTTGGCAGTGTTTGGTAACGTCTCTGCCTGTGTATAGTTTGTATCTTTATTGATTTTATTTTCACGTGTTACTTTGTAGACTTCGGTGTGGTATATTTTGGTTGGATATGCTTCTGGACACTTGGAGATTGATCATGCAAGATGCAGCTGGAATCGATGCTGAAGGGACTCACGACCCACAGAGAAATTGGTTATGGAATCAGTGATCTGTGGATTACTAGGATATATGAATTGTGGTCAACAGCTTTTAGGATGTATGATATAGTCATATTTTTTAGCATTATATATTGCATATCTATGTTAGAATAAATAATTGTTTGGTTTGTATTACACCATTTTGTAATTTAGTATCATAGCCTATGTAGATGATTTTGTACATTGTATTCTCTGGATGGACTATATTTGCTTGTAAATTGAACATGCTTACTATTCATTTTGACCAATTGTATTGTATGATAAATAATGTTTCTGATTTCATTGTGTAACCTGTTAAAGGAATACAATATGCGGATTTGTTAACTTTTTCAAATAGCTCTGCAATAATTTGTATAGGTACAACTTATTATACATATCTAATGGCTTATATAGTTGTCTATCCTTTTGCCTTTATAACCACAAGGAGCGCATTTATTAATAAATATTTGTGCACTTTGTTTTGGTGTTTTTTACTTTGTGTATATACTGATGTTTGGTGGGGGTATTTCTATATTTTTTCTTAGTACACTTGTACTTATAGTGTGCCATTGGGAGTATGTTTTCTTTACCCCATTTTTTTGTTTAGTTTCCTTACTGTTATTGGGGTCGCAAATAAGGGAGTTTATATTTATTGCCGTACGCAGGTGCGCTCTATAGGATGTGGGGCGCAAGCGCATTATTATCCATTATTTGGAATTTTATTGTGGCATCTTAACAAGCATTACCAGTAGGGGGTGCTCAATCTAGTAAGGTTTTTGCGCATGCGTGCATTGGTGGCTTGTAGAACTATGGGCAATTCCAGGAAGGAACATGGTGAAGGCGCATGGTAGTGATTGTGAGTGCGCATGTGCGAGTTTACTCGCGGGCATGTGGATAAGATCTTGATGTGTATGAGGTATTTTGAATATCTCTTTATTCTAATTTGTATGTCCATGTATAATACTGCAGTTATAGGTATACTCCTGTTTATATGTTTAGTGAACTATTTCATTACAGACAGATACTGGAAGTGATTGTGTAACTTCCGAGCTCGGTTCTGTGTTTAATTTATTTTGGCTATTTATTGTCACTCTGTTTTTTTGTATGGTTGAATAAACACATTTATATATTTCTTATGTGGTTATAGTGTGCAGTCTCTTTTTGTGATCACATGACTGGTTTAACACATATGTGATTTATTTATAACAAATGAATCTAATAAATGAAATATATATAAAATGTATTTAGTAAATACAAATAACTAATTACTGTTACTTAATAGACAAATATGATAATTACCTTTATTTTAATGGTTAAAAAATGAATATGAATAGAATGTCATCTAAAACTACT